GTGCCAACTGCTCGGGCAGGTACGAGCTGGCCAGCGTGGCGGGCAAGTCGCGCTTCGCCTCGCACCCCTCGCTGCACGGCGCCCTCGACACCCTCACGCACGCCACCAACTTCCTCAACATGATCCTGCAGAGCAATAAGTCGCGGGAGCAGAACTTTCAGGAGGACCTGGAGTGGTATCAAGCCTTGATCCGGAGCCTCCTGGAGGGGGACCCCAACATCTCTAGGGCAGCCATCACCTTCAGCACCGAGCCCTTTGCTGCTGCCCCCCAGATCTTCCTGCAGGCCAGCAGACATGAGAGCCAGATCCTCCTGCAGGACCTGTCCTCCTCGGCGCACCGCCTGGCCAACGCCTCTGTGGAGACCGAGTGGTTCCACGGCCTGAAGCGCAAGTGGAGGCCTCACCTGCACAGGAAGGTCCTGACCCCAGGCCCCAAAACTTTGGAGAGCAGCTGGAAGAGGCGCGAGAGCTTCAGTGCTGACAAGAACCACATCAGGTGGTCGTCACCTTTCCTCGAGTGCGAGAATGGGAATTACAAACCTGGCTGGCTGGTGACTCTTTCGGCAGCTTTCTATGGACTACGGCCGAACCTCTTCCCGGAATTCAGGTAGGAATGGTGCTCTTTTCCCTGCCTTCCCTACTCAGAAGAGGGTAGGGTGGCATTTGCACTGCAGAGGGTCAAGATGTCTTGGCAGTGACCCTTCCTAGGCTGGCTACTCCGTTGTGCACACACAGCTGTCTTTGGGGCATGGCTTTCACCTTGGCTTTTGCCTTGGTGTGTCTTGGGGAGCTGTTGCTCAGGGAAATATTTTTTTTTTTTTGGCCTGTAAAACACTGTGTTCCTTAGTTCCTGTTGCTGGAGCGGGTGTCTGTGTGGGTTAGGTTCCCGTGTGCTGCTGTGGGGAGAGGAGAGCTGGAGCTGCCACCCGTAGTTTATTTCTGGTTGCCAGAGGAAGATGTTTGCTGATGCCTTATTTCTTACTATGCTGCATAATTAAAACTGGCACAACCCCAGCTATGACTTTAACCAGCTGGGAAACAATATTATTGTCCTGTGAACTGCAATTTCTGATCTCTGAAGCACATCTGCTGAGAAGTGCTCAAGCCTGCTCAGTAGCTTTATAAGCAGACAAATGTGGGCTTTTTATTGTAGTTCTGCCATATGCATATGGTTGCAACATAAACAAAAACAGGCTGTAACTTATAACTTTTCTTTATAACATTGTTTATAGTAGTTATACTAATTGACCCCCTTCCTCCAACCCTTTTACAGCCCTGTTTATCAGTTGGTGCCTGATAAAAGATGAACAGTGCTACATATCTTGCCATTACCCCAGGATTTTGTCCCTGGGCTGTGAGGAGTAGAGAAGAGGATTTTAAAAGGTGCAGTCTCATCCCTTGTTATGTTGACAGCGAGAAAGGACTTGTAGCCCACACGTTGTACTTCTTGTACGGGATTTTGTTTTTCTGCCCTGGAACTTTTGTAGTGGAGGTTATGGAAAATTCTGATTCTTAGGGGAATGTCTTCCCTTGGAATAATCAGTATCTTCGAGAGAGCAAGAGCATTGAATTCATCCTGTGCAGGGGTGCAGTGGTAAGTGATGATGGACAAGGGCACAGTGAAACTGAATGAGTTTCACTGGCCGTAGGTAACCAGGCAGCCACTTACATGGGCATTGATTTTCTTGGCTTCCTCTGAAATCCAGTGAGATCAAGTAAGCACAAATGCAGTTGAATCTGATTGGAAAGTGGTTCTCTGTCTCCCTGCAGAACGGTACAGTGTTAACATTTCTGTGGGTTGGTTGGGTTAGGGTAAAATGAGCTCATGTCAGAGGGGTTTGAATTCATTTCAAGAACAAAAAAACAGAGAAATGGTATTTTAGAACTTTTCTGGACCATAGCCTGGTTGTACAAAAGTTCTCATAGTTCTTTGAAAATGAGATTTTTCACAGGTGACAAATTTGAGTGCAGATAAATGTTACTGCAGGTAGCAGTGGCTACATGTGGCATTCTCTTGTTGGGTGTATGTCAGAGGGGTTTGAATTCATTTCAAGAACAAAAAAACAGAGAAATGGTATTTTAGAACTTTTCTGGACCATAGCCTGGTTGTACAAAAGTTCTCATAGTTCTTTGAAAATGAGATTTTTCACAGGTGACAAATTTGAGTGCAGATAAATGTTACTGCAGGTAGCAGTGGCTACATGTGGCATTCTCTTGTTGGGTGTAAGTTTACTTGACCTCAAGTACTGGCATGCTCCCCCCCCCCCCCAGCCAATGCAAGGACTTTGATCTTCATCTAAAGCTTAACTCAAAGAAGCTTTTTGACTTCAGTCAAAACAAGAGCAGGTCTTAAGAAACAGTCTAAAGCTTCAACCTCAGCTCTGTGCCAAGATTCTGCGATCCAGGAAGCATCTTGGTGCTGGTTTCTCGTCTGATGGATCTGTCCAGCAAACAGAAGGTTTGAACAGTTATGGAGCAATCCTGTCCACACAAGTCAGCTAGTAGAGGTACTTCTGGTCATGCTACATGGTCTTCCCAGCCTCTGTTTACCACCTGGGAATCGTGTGATTCCACAGAGTATGTCCAGATGCTTTAATGCATGTACATTAAGCCTGTCTAGAACCCTTTTTTATTTAGAAGCTCTTGCTGTGCAACACATGGAAGATTTAAAATGCTGCATCAAACAGTTTGAATATAGGTAACCTGGGACAAAAATAATTTTGCTGTTTCAAAACCAGAGGTGAAATCAGCTGTGATAAGCATTTCTGAGCAAATTGGTATGTTTTAGGTCATCCTGTAAGGAAGGAGATAGAAGTGTCTATGTACTTATTCTGGCAAGGCCAAGTGATGGCTCCTATGCTTCTTGTTTGAGGTGTGTTACATGAAAGGTGACTTTAATGAAAGTTCACAGGAAAATATTATGTGGGCTTTTGGAGAGGAAAAAAAATGCAGCTACATAGAAAATACTGAAAATCAAATACAACTCTCTGAATATTTGTAGAATTTTTGGTTCCAGTTTGCTCAAATATTTGCAAAATATTTTCTTTACTCAATAGGAGCACATTTAGATAGTCTAAGCCTAAGTTCCTCCAAGAAGAACTGGATTCAAATATAAAACTGTAAAATAAAGTGAAAAAAATAAATGAAGTCACTAGAACGTTAGTATTAATCACTATAAGATGCCTCTCAGGCTAGGTTTTATTTCCCCTTGCCATCTGTCTTTGAGATGAAGTGGTATAAATTTAAAATTCCTATTTAAGGCACATATGGTAAAAAGTGGCATGTACTGGTCTCCATTTGAAAAAGCTATGTAGGTTCTCCCAACAAAATGTCTCTGAACCATCTGTTAGGAACATTTTAATGCTTCAGTTTATGTGCTCCTTCCATTTGATGGCCTGGCATGAGATTGTGCATAGTAATTTAGTGCATGCCCCTTTAATGTTCCTCTAACAGGTTTTGTATTTTCTTCTCCACTGACATGAGGTTTATGGCATGTTAGGGCAGGAGAGGTTCACACGCTGGTGGTCTTGCTGGCAGAGAGTTCTGGGGTTATGGAAGGAAAGGCCATTGTGCCTTGCTTGTTCCGTTGCAGTAGCAGAGGGCTGTGCCACAGTGTGTGTGTGGGGGAAAAAGGTTAATGGAGGTAAGACTAATAATTTCTACTGGCTTTGTTCAGTTCCTGTTGCAATGGTGATGCTGTTCTCAAAAACTTTCTGAAAATGCAACTGAAAGACAAAAGAAGCATTTTGCAGTTTGCAGGTGGAGTTTGCAACTCGTGGGTCGGTAATACTGTGCAGCTCAGCACCATCCTGCCTGTGCCTTAGGAAGCAGGCACTGCTAGAGCATCGTCGGGATTTGTCACTAAACTTCTGCAGCTCCTTTCCTAATTTCTGTTACACAACAATACTGCATCCTAACCTGCAGCACAGTGGTGCTTTTTCCAGTCCTACTGTGCAACTGGAATGGTGATAAAATCTACCTGCTGAGGATCTTAGTTCTCTAAGAGTACTTGCTTAGCCCTTAAAGGGGAAGCTGGAGGCTCTGATTGCTTCAGCAACCTCGTGGGCCAGTGGGGATGAGTCCTCCTTCGCCTGGAGGAAAGGTGTTGCAGTGGGTAGCTGATAGGAGCACAGCAGCCGATAACAAAGCGGCAACCAACCCAAAACAACCTTCTCTTCCCCCCCCTGCTCCCTACCAAAAAACTAAAAACAAACAAACAAAACCCCCAACAACAATATCCTCCCCACCTCCAGGGTCACCAAGTGCAATCTCCTGTTATTGTAACCAGTGTAGCTTGCTGACCACACTCCTTCCATTTACAAATTGATAGTGTGTGTCTGCATCCCCTACCCCCCAACTTTCTCCTCCACTAACCAGGGACCTAGGAAGTGTCTCATGACTGCAAAGCTTCTTCTGATTTTTTTTTTTTTGGTCTAAATTTATTCTGTCAGTTCTCATCTATTCTTTCCTGTTCCCAAACTGCCTTTTGTCTGAAATAGCACTCTCTTTTGATGATGGCTGTCCTGAACTATTTATAGGCAGCAGTCCTTTCTCCACCTTTGTTTACTAGACTAAACAAACCAGCTTTCTTTGGTCTCCTGTTGCCATGATCTCTCCAAGTCTCGTGCCATATTTCTTGAAAGTGGTTAGTCAGATTAATGTGTGGTATTTCAGCCTTATCTAGTGGCATTAATTATTCCCACGCTCTGCGTGAACTGCTGCTTTTGCAGTTCAAAATGTTCCCTTGCATACTGCCCTTGTTTTTTAATGATATATTGCAATATGCCAACATTTTTGGAGGTGGTCATTGCTATCACAGTCTTTCATCTCTGAAGTAAGAATGTGTTTAGGATGCAGGGAGGCTCCTTTTCCTTCCTTGCCCTCCCCCTGCCTCCCAAAGTTGTAGCAAGGGCAGGTGTTTTTTCCCCACCAAATCCAGGACAGTATTTGCAGTTTTTCTTAAAGACTATTGAGAGAATGAAATGGAGTGGTGGTTATTGTAATTTAAAAATGACTCTAATTGGAAAATTGAGCAAGCATTTTGAATTATGTGTTTTGGAGCATTACAGATTGCTTCATTCTCAAGTTTGCACCAACTGTTGCTCAACTTCCCCCCACCCCCTGGCATTTGAGCCTTCTTTCACTTGTTATAAAGGTATTTTTGGGTTCAAAGATTTTTTTTATTGCATACTTAAATCTAACTATGTTTTCTCATAATGTACTGATTTCCTCTGAATTATTAACAAGAACTTGGACAACTCCAGTGCTAGACTGTAACTGGGTGCATAGTTGGGGAGATGCTGCTGAGGGCAAATTAAACCATGGAGATAAATGTTTTCTTAGTTAATACTTTTTGATTTCCTCCCTGTTAGATGTTTCAAAGGTGTTAAATTGTTCAGTGAAATAACCATAAAAGTAAATTTAGAAGAGAGAAATTACTGAACTACTAACTTTTTTCTTTATTGATGGCTTAATTTCTTATTTTGACTCTCCCCTTTTTGTGTTCTCCCTATTATCTTTAATCTGTTCTTTTGTTCTGAACTAGGAAAGAAAACTTATGACTACTGCTTAAGGGGATCAGCTAAGTTCTGGATTCACTAATTTGTT